TTACAAGCCAGTAGAGAGGATTTTCATCTAAAATTTTTATTTTCCTTACAGAGAAAATTATCAAAATGGTCCCTCGATTATGTTGATTTCACCATTTTGGTCATAGTCATTTTAACTTGACTAATTAAATCCTTCGACTATCAATTTTTTTTTTTTTTTAACCAAATTGGACCTCTAGCGACTTCAACAATAATTTTTCAGGGATAAAATTGGAAGTTCACTCCAGTGACGACGTTCAAATGTAAGTTTTTTTTTTTTTTTTTTTTTTTTAACCTTGTTAGAGTGGGAAAAAAAACATGTTAATTTTCTTATATTTGGGATGTCAATTTTGTGAATTTTCTGTACAAGGTAGTGTTAGTGTTGATTGTGGATTCATTAAATAGTTTGATCTTCCAATGTGTTCAAGGTCGAAGAGAATTATTCTAGGACTATTGAAGATAATAAATCAAAGTGAAGAAGAAATTGAGACTTTGAGAAGGAAGATAAGAGCAGTTGGCAATCCTGGCATTAAGAGTGGCAAATCAAGTATTAATTAATTGAAGTTTATAGTTATAGTAGTGTTCATTTGGACAATAATATTATTGTTGGTGATGTGTTATTTTTATTGTTCTTTTTCAAGTTGTGAAGGTCGGGGAAATGGAGTTAAAATGCTGCCTTGATAATGTGCAATTGATGGTCATGTTGTCCTGTTGTATGGTTTTTGAAGTTTGAATGAAATGGATGGTTATCCTAGTTTATCAATTGAACAGTATTAAAAAAAATGACAAATTAAGCTATCAATACAAGGAAGCAAATAACAAATCATCATTGCAGTAACCTGGTTTCATGGTGCATGCATATATATGCTATGAAGGTTCTAACTTCTAAACGAATAATTCGATATTTATCTATACTCGTTTAAGTTTTTTTTTTTTTTTTTTTTTTTTGGGTTTTAATGTGATGACTGGGAGAGAAAGGAGGAAAAGAAAAAAGAAGAGAAAAAGAAAAGAAGAAGATAAATCTGACACAAAAAAAAAAAAAAAAAAGAAGAAGACAGCATGATGCAGGGCGTGGGAAAAGGAATTGAATGACAGTAAAAACCTTTATTTGCAGGAATGAAAAACCAAGACAAAACTAACCTCCACATCTCTAAAAAAAATTAATTTTTAATTTTTTGTTATGAACAAATTAAGTAAAATTCTCAAATGTGGATGCTAATGAATTTCATCTGCATATACCAAATCACTGTCGGTCTTCCCTAATATATAACAATCGTTATACCCTACACCACAGTGCACATAGCATTGTGCGTCTCGTTCGCGCCTTTCAAAACGACGTCGTTTTGTTAAATTGTGTGGAGAGTCGACGCGAAAGAGTGTATGTGTATTATGTTATATAATTATGTACATTATGTTATACAATTATGTACATTCTGATATATAATTATGTACATTATTTTATACAATTATGTACATTTTTTATACAATTATGTACATTCGAACACACAATTTTTTTTAACATTTAAAAGTTTGTGTGTATTCTATTATGCAATTATGTACATTCTCATATATAATTATGTACATTTTCAAAATATGATTTTTTTTAACAAATTATAACAGCAAACATGGAAAAGCGGAATTTTCAAAAAAATGTGCAAAATGACGTCGTTTTGCACCAAGACACACAATACAATGTGCACCTAGTGTACGATATAAATTGCGAATATATGTGCCTCCATATTCGGATCAGACCTACCCAATGTGAAAATTCTAAATTTCCACACTCCTTTTGCTTTCCATCATTCATTCATGCAATAATTACTATACTAACAAGTCGGTTTCCAAGAAATTACTTGAAATTGAAATATAATACTGATTCTATATACATTGAATGTGTATAGAATTGACAGCTAAAATGGTTTAGTTATAAGAACATTTTACTGTTGAAATTATTTTTCCAAAGTCAATTAATTGGAGTTGCTCTAGACAATTTAAATTGATTTACTACATCCTTAGCTTTAGGTAATATTAACCTAGTACACACCATCAGGGAGTGATTGCGGACTTTCTCCGTTACTTAAAGAGAGGAGAAGAAAAAAACTCAAGGTAGAACAAATTATGGAGATCTAATTTGTGATCGGAATTTGTTGACCTTTTGTAGCGGCGAATTGCCATCCGTTGGAATTAGCAATGAACGATATTGGAAATGCACTGCTAATTAGTGTTTCTACAATCAGTGTTGATTCAAGTCAAGATGATAGTCTAAAAATGTGAGTTGCATGGTCCTGTATAGCGTACTACATAACATGTTGCGCTGGGTAGGGCTTCAGTTTTGAACCATTCTTTGATTTTTCATCAAAAATTTAATCTTTAAAACTTCAAAATTTATAAAGGTAAATTTACTGTGCACCACGGTCCACAATGCATTCTAGTCCAGGCATCAAAATGGTGCAGTTTCTTTTAATGAAAAGAAACGGCGCTTGTTCCACGCCGTTCCAGAAAAAGTAACTATGTTTGTATAACATATTCATTCAGTTTAATTTTATATCACAACAGTTTTCTTTCAACACAATTACAGTTTCATTTCGATATAACTACAGTTTCATTCGACATTATACACTCAAATATATGAAACTGTTATTCAGTTTCATTTTATATACACTATAGTTTCATTACAACACAACTACAGTATCATTTCGATATAACTACAGTTTCATTGAACGATATACACTCAAATATGTGAAACTGTTATTCAGTTTCATTTTATATACACTGCAGTTTCATTTCAACACAACTACAGTTTCATTTCAATTCAATCACAGTTTCATTTGATAATATAAAAACAATATGTGAGGCAGTTTCATTCTAGATACACTGTAGTTTCATTTTGTAATTAACACACCAAAAATATGGGCCCCGTTAAACTGTAACAGCAACTATTTCTTTACTTAAAGAAACAACACCGTTTTTTAACATGAACCACAAAGCTTTGTGGACTATGGTCCACAATATAATTGATGATTTATAAATGAACCTGAAATTTTTCTTAATAACACTCAAAACCTTTATAAAAGACTAACTTACATCCAATTAACCAAGAAATAAGTATACACAAATCATCATTAATTTATCTGTATAATTAATTAATAATGAATTATATTAACATGTAAGTTTTAAACGTGAACTAAATATCCAATTGTTTTTTGATTGTTTTAAATATCCAATTGTTAATATCTCTACAAAATACAAAAAGAATAATCTATCTCTAAATGATATATATATATATATATATATATATATATATATATATATATATATATATATATATATCCAAAATAAATGAAATAGCTTGCTAAATCTCAAAGTACCTCGCAAACTTTTATTCAAAATTTCAAAACAATATTTATGCAGAAATTTTATACAATTTGCTAATTATTAACAATTGCTAATTGTCAAAAGTGTCAAAAGAATGTGGCCTCAAAAAAGTGGATTGAACTTTTTTTTTTCTTTTTTTTTTTTGTCCTAACCTGCAAATTTGATTTTTCCACAGTCCTTTTGCTTTCTGTGTCCAAACTCCAAATAATACCAAGTTAGTTTCTAGGAAATTGATTTGTTATACCATGGACCAGGGTCCATCTTCTAAGGTGAATCTTGATCCTAAATGACGTATAAATTGTATATTTTTAACATTGAAATTATACACTTTTAGAATATAAATTGTGTACATAACATATGCAAAAGGAAATTTATAAATACAGTACAGTGTCACCAAATCCTAATTTATTAATATTTTTAGCAATGTTGCAAAACACGTTGCAAATGTTGCAAAAATTTAATTTTTTTTAAAATTTTTTTATTTTTTAATTAAAAATTAAATAAAATTAAAAATTAAATTTTTTTAAAATTTAGTAAGAAAACCATAGTTATTTCTTAGAAACTATTTACGAAAGTGGTTGTAAAAGTGTTCAAAAGATTGTTTAAACCACCTAAATACATAAAAAACTAAATTAAGAGCTAAAGAAGCATTTTTTTGAGAAATTAGTGGACCAAAAAAAAAATTGTCCAAAACAGGCAACTGAGTCAAAAGTTATGCCTTCCCGAACTTTTTGCAATTTAAAACGCAAAAAAAAAAAAAAAAAAAAAAAAAAAAAAAATTAAAGCGCCGGTTCGGCCAGGCGGTCTAGGCGGCCGCCTAGACCGCCTAGCCGGCCGGCCGCGGAGGAGGCCGATTCCGGCCTTCTTTGCGGCGGCGGCCGGGCGCCTAGCGTCTAGGCGTGATTTTTGCAACCATGATTTTTAGTACCATCAACAATATACTTGCTATCTATTCTTATATTTGTTTAAAATTGTCACATTCAACATTTGAAAATAAATTTTGAAATATCATATTCTTCGTGAACCTCAACATTCTACAATATATCCACAAATACAGAGAGTTGGTCATTGCATTAACGATATTCTCTATATGTTTTTTTTTTTTTTTTTTTTTTGTTTTTGTTTTGTTTTGGATTCGCAGATAGAATTGAAAGTTGTCTAAAGTCTCTACAAAACGCAACAATTTCTTTTCTCTAAATGATGTAACGGTGAATAAATGATTTATTAAATCGCAAAATTCCTCTCAAACTTTGCCAAATTTTCAAACTGTAACAGGGCGTTTGGTTGGAGGGAGTTTAAATTCCCTTCCCACTTAATTCCCACTTAATTCCAAAGGCCATTGATGAAGCATAGCTAAGCTGATCGAAGCATGAAGCATGGCACAGCCGGTGAGGGCTTTTGTGTAATAAGCCTTGAGGGCATTATAGTCTTTTCTTCTGCAGTTAGTTATAACTGCTTTCTTTCCTCTTCGTTAACTTGGTGTATATAGCAATCTGTTTTCCCAGCTTGTAAGACTTGAGACTAATATTTTTAGTAATGATTCATCATCCTTTCCACACAAAGTATGAAGCTTACAAACCCTAGGAGCTTTGTAGAGCTGGTTTGATCATGGTATCAGAGCAGAGAAGAAGCTACGCTGCTGTAACAATGGCGCAAAACGTGACAGGAGGAGAGGATCGTGATGAACAGTCAGCTGGATCATTGAATCAAGGACAGCTGAATCAACACAGCGTTGAGTTCAACGATCCATACTTCCTGCACATTACAGAAAATCCAAATGTGGTGCTGGTCTCTCCAATTCTAGATGAGACTAACTATCCGTCTTGGAGCCGAGCTATGAAAATGGCGTTAGAAGTGAAGAACAAGTATGAGTTTGTCAATGGAGTTATTCCGAGCCCTACTGAAGCTGATCCAAGGTATGCAGCTTAGAGGAGATGCAATCGCATCGTGTGTTCTTGGATCTTAAGATCAGTAAGCCCTGCAATAGCTGAAAGCATCATGTACTTCGACAAAGCCTCAGAGATATGGAATGCTCTTAATAAAAGGTATTCGCAGTCTGATCCCCATAAGATATCTGAAGTGCAGAATGCGATTTATAAAAATGTGCAAGGAAATCTATCTGTTAACGAGTATTTCACCAAATGTAATTCTCTGTGGCAACAATTGAACATCTTAAGGCCTTTGCCTATGTGTGAGTGTACACCTAGATGCTCATGTACTCTCATGGAGAAGTTGCAGAAAGAAAGGGAAGATGACTATGTCATCAGATTCCTGGAAGGACTAAGTGAGGAGTATGAGCCTATTAAGTCCGGAGTCCTTGTCATAGATCCTATGCCAGACGTGGGAAGAGTGTTTAATATGACCTTGAAATTAGAAAGGAAAATCAAGGGAGCTATCAGTCAAAAATCCACAGACCTAATTCAAGCTAATGCAGCCCAGAATATGGATGAACAGAGTGTTGTAGCCTACACATCCTCAAGTAATAAAAAGAAGTTCAGCAGTAATGGAGGGAAGAATGTGCCCAAATGCACATTTTGTGGTATGCTTGGACATACCATTGAGAAATGTTATAAGAAGAATGGCTATCCACCAGGGTGGATTCCAGGATACAAAGCCAAACAAAAGGGAAATCAGGAGGGTTCACAGTCCATGAATACCTTTGTGAACCAGGTGGGTGAAACTGGCCTCTCTGATGATCAGTTTCAAAAGCTGGTAAACCTTCTGCAAAATCAGAACAAAGTTAGTCAGAACTCCTCCAATGCTGCTGTTGCTCTCACTAATCATGGACTCACAGCAGATTTTAAAGATCTTGGTGAAAATCACAGTGAAGGTAATCTTCTCATCAATGCTTTTCAGAATTCCCTAGATGTTTGGATACTTGATTCTGGTGCCACAGATCACATAACATGCTCAATAGAATATCTTAAAAACAGTTGTCAAGTCTCTGGAATATCTGTGAAAATGCCTAATGGGAAAACAGCTGAAGTTACTCATGTAGGAAAAGTGAAATTGGATAATAATGTGGTGTTACAGAATGTGTTATGCATCCCAACTTTTGCTTTCAATATAGTATCTGCTAGTAAATTAACCAAGCAGGCAGGGTGCAAAATTATTGTGAAGCCTGATTGTTGTGACATTCAGGGACCTCTTGGAAGAGTGGATGGTTTTGCTAAAGAAAAGGAAGGGCTCTACTTGATTAATAGACCTCCAATCAGATTGAGAAATCAAATGGCTGATGAAAAGTTGAAATTACAATGTAATAATCTTAGCATTGATGTATGGCATGATAGGTTGGGGCACTATCCTGCTAATAAAATCCCATCATTGAAAGGAATAAACATTACTTTTCCTGTTAAGAATGTTGAAATGGTCTGAGATGTTTGCCACTTTGCCAAGCATAAAAGAACTGCTTTTCATATCAGTGATTCCAGGGCTCAGAAATGTTTTGACTTACTTCACATGGATGTATGGGGTCCTTTTGCTGATGCTTCATTAAAGGGGGGACACTACTATTTAAATATTGTTGATGATCATAGTAGGTTTACTTGGTTACACCTAATGAAGAACAAATCAGAAGTTAAGAACATTTTTCAAAACTTCTGTAGCTATGTTCAAAACCAATTTTCTAGCAGAATTAAAGCTATTAGAACAGATAATGGCACTGAGTTCATGATGCCTGCCCTCCTTAATGAGAAGGGTATAATTCACCAAAAGACTTGTGTGTACACTCCACAACAGAATGGAATAGCAGAAATAAAGCATCAGCATGTGTTGAATACAGCTAGGGCTCTCAAGTTTCAATCTGGTCTACCTATAAAGTTCTGGGGTCACTGTGTTTAGGGATGTCAAATGGGCCAACCCGTTGGGTTTTGGACTAGCCCTACAGGGTTGGTGGACTTGTTGGCTTGGGCTAAAATGGTTTTTTATTTTTTCTTTTTGAGTTGGGTTGGCCCTAACCCTAAACAACGGATTGTTGGTTAATCCAACGGGCTAAATCACTAAACAAAATTTTTATTACAAATAGAGTAGGTTCATAACTATATATATATATATATATATATATACACACACACACACACACACACTATATATATATATATATATATATATATATATATATATATATATATAGTGTGTTTATATATACTACACACGCAGTGTGTGTGTGTACTGTGTGTGTAGTATATATATATATATATATATATATATAGAGAGAGAGAGAGAGAGAGAGTGTGTGTAGTATATATATTGTGTGTACAGTGTGTGTGTGTGTGTATATATATATATAGTGTGTGTATGGTATATATATTGTGTGTACAGTGTGTGTGTGTGTGTACAGTGTGTATATATATAGTGTGTGTGTAGTATATATATTGTGTACAGTGTACAGTGTGTGTACAGTGTGTGTATATATATATATATATATATATATATATATATATATATATATATATATAGTGTGTGTGTGTGTGTGTACAGTCTGTGTGTAGTGTATAAAAGTACATTATTTCATATATACTATCAAATAATGTACCTTCAATATACAAATAATGTACATTTAATATATTAAAAATGAACCTTATATTCATGGTCCACACAAGTTGTATAGACTATGGTCCGTCCAATAATCATTGAATATTACACGGGCCAGCTCAACAATCCATGAGTTGGCCCAACTCAATCCAATAACCCAATAGGGCCAACCCAATGAGCTTACTTTCTTATTGGATTGATCTTTTTAGATTTTAGCCCTGCAATTTTTAGGGCTTAATGGGCCAGCCCATTGGTTCAGGGCTAAATTGACATCCCTAACTGTGTTCTGCATGCCACATACCTCATAAACAGGTTACCAACTGATGTTCTTAATGGAGGAATTCCTTTTGAGTTAATGAATGGAAAGTCAATGGACTATAGTCAGCTGAAATCTTTTGGATGCCTTTGTTTTGGAGCTACTATATCACAAGGAAGACATAAGTTTCAACCAATGGCAAGGAAATGCATATTCCTGGGGTATCCTGCTCACATAAAAGGCTACATTTTATATGATGTAACTGACAAATCCATTTTTGTGTCCAGGGATGTTAAGTTTCATGAAAAGGTCTATCCATTCAAAGAAGCAAATTCTGGAAAAACAGAAAACACCAACAGTGATGTCTTTAGTCCCTCATTACCCCTGGTTCCTACTTGTATTAAGAGTGAATATTCACATTGGAGGCCTACACCAGATGTCCAGTATGCAGATACACCACATAGTAACCACATTAATGAAGATAATGAAGATCTCACAGCTGGTCTTGATTGGGATAATAAGGAGAACAGTGAGGCAGGAGTTGATCACAGTTCATCTCACATAGCTGATCAACAGTGTGATGAGGAAACCATAAATGGAAACAGCTCATCCAATCACATTGACAATCAAACCCTCAGGAGATCAACAAGAACCAAAAGTGCACCAATCAAGCTACATGATTATTATTGCCAATGTTAGGAATAAATTGTAATAGATTTTGATAAGCCATATTGTAATTCGTAGATCCCCAATTTTATTTTATTAGACTAGTCGAGTCTTAGACCAAGAAAGGGAAAAATAAATTCATTAGTTGAGGAAATGGATGAAGAAGATATCAAGCCAAAAATCAAGAATTTGTCAAGAGAAAATGGCAAACAGAAGAGGAAGATGTATGCGTATGAAATTTGAGAAAATCCCTCAAGAAATCCCAAAGAAGAAAGAACGTGACTAGAAGTTTGCATGAAGCTATCTTGAAGATCAAGCATCTATGGAAAGAAAGGAGTACACCAAGTGGAACAAAAAGATAACCAATAGGCTGTATGGACGAGATGGTAGAAGCTTGAAATATTATGTGTAAGGTCATAGGTTTGAATCTCACATCCCACATATTTTAAAGAAGCCAAGTTAAAATTCCATCTGATCAAGTAAGAGGCGATGGTTTGGCCGAAGGGATACAATTTGCAAGTCAATGGGATTCCAATTTGACTATGGGATGCAATTTCCAAAGTCAAAGGGAATGAGATTTCCAAATTGACTAAGGGATGGAAGTTTACAAGTGAAGGGATGCAGTTTCTCAAATTGGTATCCCAAACAAATTGGAACCCCGAAATTGAAATAGGGATGCAATTTCATCAGAAGAATTGAAGTTCAAATTGGTACAGGGAAATCAATTTGAAGGGATGAGATTTACAAGGCTTCAGGGAAATCAATTTGAAGGGATGAGATTTACAAGGCTTCAATTCAATTGGAGATATAGATTGCAAGGGATGAGATTGCAATTCCAAATCAAGTAAGGGATGAGAATTCAATTGACAAATCTAGCAAGGGATAGAGATTTCATTTCCCAAAATAGAAAGGGATGAAGTTTCACAAGGGAAGAGATTTCCAAGTCAATCGAAGAGATGAAGTCTGGAAGCAGTATACAGACCCAGATACACGAAAAACAGAGGAAGATATTAGAAGAAGTTGCAGGAGCAAAAATACTAGTCTAACTAGTAAGGGATTATATTGGAGAATATATTTTGAAGATAAAAATCCCAAGAGGCGTGATCTACACCAGATGGAGATTCATGGGACGCCATTTTTGCTGAAACCTCAAGCTCAATTTGAAATATCTGACAAGATCTGCAACGTTATCTTATCTTCTGACAAAAGGCTATACAGCTAAGCAAAATTCGAAAATGAGACCGTTTCTTTCCAACGGACGGATTCTCATTACCAGCTATAAATAGATGAAGATTGAAGCTGAGGAAGGCAGAAGCAAGAAAAGCAAAATACAAAGAGCAAGAACAGAGCTAAACAGAGCATAGAAAATTCAAAGAAAGCTTTCCATCTCAAGAGCTTAAATTGATATATTTTTTGTGAGATAAACACTCAGAGTGATATAGAGCTTAGAAAAGAAATATCCAAGAGTGTTAAAATCTTCATCAACTTCAAGAGACTCAACGCACCATTGAAGATCATCTATAGAGTTTCAAAGTTGGAATCAAGTCAAAACTTGTTTTGGAGCAAAACAAGGGAAAGGAGGAAAGTAACATGGAGTTGTGAAATCCTGGATTGTCACACGGAGCTGTGAGATCCGAAGCAGCAGTGTCGGGAAGACATTGGGCGTGATTGGTGTGGGCTTGGTGATCAAAGCACCAGATCACGGAAGATACGTTTCTACCGGATCGTAGAAGACGGGGGGAAAGTAACGCGGAGTCGTGAAATCCTGGGAAAGTAACGCGGCGACGTGAAACCCGAAGCAGCAGTGTTGGAGGCACTGGGCGTGATTAGTGTGGGCTTGGTGATCAAAGCACTAGATCACAGAATTCATTGTATCTTGGAACCAAGAAGTGGTGGATATAGTGAATTAGCTCTTGGACAAAAGAGCAAGTGGAGTAGGAGGATTACATCACCTCGCGAACCACTATAAATTGCCTTGTGTTCTTTACTGCTTTCTTTACTTACCGCTCTTGCTTGCTTCTCACGTTAATAATTTTGACACGATCTACACACACACCGTATCGTTTATTTAATTCCGCTGTGCACCGGACTCTAACAATCTAGTTAAGAGTCTTGGTTTATCTCTGGCTTACCTTTTGTTATATTGTGCGAAAAAGTTTGAAAGTCTATTCACCCCCCCCCCCCCCCCCCTCTCTAGACTTTCACCTTTCCTCTTTTGGGACCAACAATTGGTATCAGAGCAGGCTGTCTATTTAGGCCAATTTGCTTTCAAAACACGTTGCCTAATTGGGTCAACCTTGTTTCTGACTGCTAGACAGATCCATCTTACCCAGTGTGTGTAAATTGGATTATTTATCTCTCGCACCCACCGAGAAGATGAATAAAGATTTAGCTCAAAATCTATTATTCTCGCTTGATAAATTTGATGATTGGAAAGTTCGTATGCAGGTTCATCTATCAGCTTTACACGATGAAATGTGGGAAGTTATTTCCACTGGCCCGATCGAAATATTGAAAGTAAATACGGCTTTTCTTCTATCACCGGATGCTCAACAATTCGTACCTAAGCCAAAACCGGAATGGACGTCGGATGATAGAAAGAGGAACAATCTTGACAATATTGCCAAAGATATTCTGTTCAAAGCCATTGATGACACAATATTCCCAAAGGTTCGAAAATGTACAAGTGCAAAAGAAATTTGGGATACTCTCATCAAGATCGGAGAAGGAGATGAACAAGAGAAAGGTAATAAGCTCACAATTGCTATGAAGAAGTTCGAGGACTTCAAAATGCTCTCAAATGAATCCATTCTTGATATGGAAGCTCGATTGATTAAAATACTTGGAGAAATTAATGACCTTGGCAAAAATATTAGCCAAAAGGAAATTAATCTCAAAGTTCTACGAGGCTTACCATCTA